AAGCTAGAGAGGTAAGAGATGATCCTAAACGATCTAGATAGTGACATATTTTATCAYAAATGAGAGATTGAAAGAATGGAAGAATGTGTTCTTTCAGATCTAAAAAACTAAGATAGYCTTCAGATGTTGATGCCAATTTTRCCTAAGAAACTAGATATCACCCAGAAATTCCTATCAAAACGTGTGAGTTGGAACATTGACAAAGGTCGCATTTTATAGCCACCAATGTTGAAATGTTGTTATCCAACTTTAACGCATGTTTTTCTCTAATTTGTTGATCAGTACATGTTTATACTCGTCATTTCATCCTTTAAATATCTTGAAGATATGATATAGACGTTTGTTAATACAACTCGTCATTTTATACGCAGGGAGAACAGTAAAGGAAACATGGTACTAATAAAATAATACTTTTGAACTTACTTTGTCTAAGATGTTGAACATGCTCCCATAACAGGACAAGAGTTGGTAGAGTTGGTGATCGAAACTTGTTAGTTAAGTTTGCGCTCGAAAATTAGTTTGCCAAAAACAATATTTGTCAAATTGTTTTTATTTTTATTTTACCTTGTATTGATCTCTAATCAGCTAGATGACAATCCAATCCACTTTGGTGACTRTCTTGGCTTCACTTCAACTAATATTCGATTTTGTTGGATGCATTTTGCTTTTGGACCAATACTGATAACAATAAAGAGTTTTACAGCAAAAATCTTATTCTAATATTTCTCTCCGAAACATAAGTTATGTTCCGGATTCCAGCAAGACTACATATCATTCGAATCTAAAAGAGCTTTAGGATGGAAGAGGAAATCAAATCCTTACTAAGATTTCGGATCCACAGACATATTGGATCATGGATTCTTCTAGGATCCTTAAAAGAGCAAATCCAATGGATTCTACTATGTTYGGATTCAAATCTCATCCGAAAACAAGTGATCAGCTACWGAGGCRTAGTCCTGCRATATTTCCAAGTGTCAAATYGGATATATTTGTGTTATTATCAAATCAAATGGTTGAGAACAACAATATATCTAAAAAATAACAATGAAAGGAAATTAATATTAAAATGTTACAAAANTATTCACATATATTTTAACAACGAGATATGGAAACTATCCAAAATGAAGTGATTCAGATGGAGACGAGATCCGGAAGCAAGATAACGGGAAGAGAAGGTCCATTTTTTAGTAGAATAAGAACTCAACACGTTAAGAGGTTAACAAGACATGGTTTATACCTCTTGTCCAATAATAAGACGATAAAACATTTTGACCTTTTATCACACCAAAAAAGCAATCTTATTAGCCTAACTTCTTATTCAATAAGACATAAACGATTAATTTGACGGGTTTTTGAAAAAGAATAAAACAAAAGAGCTAAGACAAAGGGAGAAAATTTTTGGATGTTGAAAGGTCGAAGAAAGTATATTTGATAAGGACATGGACATCCAGAGTGCATAAAATATTTGATCAACATACCACGTTGTGCATCATTATCATTATCATTATCATTATTTATTAATCTATTTAACTTTTTCTTTTATGAAACCATCTCATTCAACTTTTTATTAATATAATCAAGCAAATATAAATATATTTATTTGTTTTTTATTTATCATAAAAAAGTATTTCGATATGTTATCGTTATAAATGAGGGGATAGACATGTGTGGCTTTTTAGGATCGTGTCGGATGGTGTATCGAACAAGGTGTCTTTTGAATTTTTTTAAGGACACACACATGTATATATGRGCCTAATCAAATGAGAACTGTTTTATTTGTGGTAATCGTGAGATCCAATCTCAACCACAAATCAAAGGTTAAATTAGGAAATTAATAATTTTGATAATTTTAACTTAAAATATTAATTAAGAGTATTTTAGAGATTTTATAAATATCCTCTCACATCTCTCCGGYGAATCTTATTCGGTGAACCTTATATATTCCGATTAACCTTATATGAACACGAGATACACACTGTGATACTCGATTGTTTGTGGTAATTGTGAAATTCAATCTCAACTATAAATCAATAGATAAATTAGAAAATTAGTAATTTTGGTAATTTGAGTTAAAATTATAATTAGAAGACATTTTAGGTGTTTTTAGAAACTCCTCTCTTCTCTCTCTGACCTTGGATCTCCGGCCTCCAGTGAACATTATTCTGACCAGTACCAAGTAATACAAAGATATACAATGTGATGCTCATTGTGATATCACTGTGATACCATTGTGATATCACTGTGATACCATTGTGATATCAACTATGATACCAACCCAAACCTTAAAAATGAAATCAAACTTATAATCTAAATTTAATCGATGACCCTAAAGATACACAATGTGATACCTATTGAGATACCATTGTGATACCATTGTCACACAAACTATGATACTAACTCAAGCCCTAAAATCAAAATCAAACACTCAATCTAAATTTAATCGATTGCCCCAAAATTCAAAAACCAAACCCACAATCTAAAATTAATAAAAAAATATTAATCTAGATATTTAAATTTAATCGAAGTGCTTGGATCCTCAYGTTGATACGTACAACAGTTTTCAGATCTGATTTCAATTTAGATAGAGATATGGAGTTTTTAGATCTGATTTCAATGGAGACGGAGATCTGGATTCATTGAAGACTTCATAAACAAGATCAAGGCCAGTGACTGATTTGAGGACAACGTTAGGTGCTGGCGACGATGTCAGCTCTTTCTTGGCCAGCGGCCAGCGAGAATGGTGCACATCAGACGGCGAGATGGTGCACAGCAACCCGGTTCTCCCCGACATCAACCCTAACGTTGTTRTCATCTTATCTGCCAAAGTTCTCCCTCGACAGCAACCCCAACTTCTGCCCCGACATCGCTCTCGAAGCACGAACCTCACTTGCCACAGACATCCACAGTCGCTGTCATGACCTCCATCGAAAACTGCCTGAACCCTGCCATCACCRCCGTTCAAGGTGCTTGTATTGGTGAAGATGTTAATGGAGTGGCTATGAAATGGCCGACGAGATAAAGAGATTCTCATTATAGGGTTTTTTTATCAACTATCAAAATTACTAGTTTACCCTTTATTTTATTTTAATAAATAATATTAATTAYCTTAAATGATTGGTTGAGGTTGGATCTTACGGTTATCACAAAACTATCTAGTTCTCATTTGATTAGGCCCCTTATATATAGACCTAATCAAATGAGAACTARATAATTTATGATAACTGTGAGATCCAATATAAGCCAATCATTTAAGACATTATTTTTTTAATTAACTTACAAAGTGTATGATTGTGAGTAGATTACAACTCTATCAAAACATTTTGTTTTAATTTTAGTATTTATCCCTAAATAAATGCCAAATACAATTTTTCTATTTTCTTAATTGCAGCTACAATTATCATCATCATTTCCTTCCATCTTCTTCCACAYGTACTCCAATTGTGTTGATTTTTGATATCCATYTCATCGATGTATATWTAAAATYCAAAGCATTTTTATGCATCCTTCCATCRTCGTTSCAGTC